CAAGCCGCACCTCCATCTCCTACCGACCAACCTCATCCCACCCCCTTGACCTGTCCGTCCTCCCTGGACTGACCTATCCCCTTCCTAACTCCCTACCTACACTCACCTTTACTGGCTCCATCCCCGCCTCTTCGACCTGTTTGTTTCCTCTCCACCTATCCTCTCCTCTATCCCTCTTCTATCCGCCTCCAACTCTCTCCCTATTTATTTCAAAACCCCCTTCCCCTCCCCCTTTTCTGATGAAGGGTCTAGGCCCGAAACGTCAGCCTCTCTGCTCCTATGATGCTGCTTGGCCTGCTGTGTTCATCCAGCCCTGCACTTTGTTGTCTCAGATTCTCCAGCATCTGCAGTTCCTACTATCTCCACTAATGTCCCGAGTAGATTACTCTACCCTTACCTCCAGTCTCTGTCTTATCAGTCTCTCTGATCTTTTATCTATCCACACAACGGTCTGTCCCTCTTATTCTCACAGTGTTTGTCAAAGATGAGCCAATTGTTTATCCTGTGTTCCAACTGGCACTCATCCAGAAACCAAAACAAACATTCTGCACACCAAATCTCATTCCTGCTGGACATTTGCAAATTAGCTGCTGCACTCTCTCACCTCAGCAGTCACCACATCTTAAAACAGAATTCAATCCTTGCTTTGGGAAATTGTAAAAATTCAAAGTTATCCTTTTCCCCCAAAGTTTTGTCACAGTCGTCCTCCCTGTATTTTCACTGTCTGACTGTCTCATGTCCTTGATCAATCTCTTAGCAAATTCCTACATCCCTCAACTTCCCATTTAAAAATAACTCAGTATTACTGTTGCTAAATTTCCAGCTTGTGTCACCAAGCCACCTCTTCCTTGATCTATTTCTTGCCTTTATATTCTTTGATTTAAATAAACATCTTTCTGCCACCTTGTCCCACGTTTCACAGTTTTAAAAGAAGGGTATTTTATTCGTTGCAGGGCTAAAGCAGGTCTAAGGATTTAGGAAAGATCAACTGAGTAAAACTAACAATAATAACATTAATGTACATCTTAGATGGAGTTACACAGTAAGATTTTCGTACAAAGCACAGATTGCACAGAAACATGCCACACAGGAGTATCCTGAAGACAACTTCCATCTCTAAACATGGTCAATGCTGAAAAACTGAACCAAACTCTGAGTACCTGAGAAACTCAGCAGATGTAGCAGCATCAGTGGACAGAGAATCAGAATTAACAAATCAAGTCTTATTGAATGGTGGACCAGGTTCAAGGGGCTGAATGGTCTCTTCATCCCTGACCATGTGTTCATGAGCATAGAGGGGGGGATGAGGAAAGTTATTTTCACTCAGAGTTTGACAGGTGTCTGAAAGTCTGCTGAAAAAGAGTTGTCAGCGCAGAAACCCTCAAATGAGTGTGTGTTTGGAGCTGCATTTGAATCCACAGGACTACAGACTGAATGGGGGCAGGGATTATGCGAGGGAATTGATGGGGGAAAATAGTCTTTCGGTCAGCACAGACATGATGGGCCAAGTGGCCTTTTTCTGCGCTGAAAACTTTTTATATTCAATATTTCATCGTGAGTGAGCTATGAGTTTGCGATGACTAAGAACTCACCACCTGCTAATAATGAATGTCACATAAGCCTCTTTCTCTGCTTGTAGCTCAGGGCTGTTTAACTGATAAGTGGTAAGTGATGAAACGCTTAACGTCTAAATTAAAAAGAAATGAAAAACTGGCATTCTATCAGACACACAAATTAAATCTCAGCTGATAATATTCCTCACAGGAGACAGTTAATAAATATTCAAGCGAATAATGCTCATTTAATGAACTCCCAAAGAAAACCTATTTCTTCAAAACAGTTAAACATTCAACACTGCGGGTCTCCTTAGCTTTATGGAATACCAATCATTCTCTGGACTTTGGATCGTCTAGATTTCACTTTCTTGGGAAAAAATAAACTGCAAGTTCGCGAGGTAGAGACCGGTGACTCTCCGCTTTCTGCGCTCACTCTACACAGAGATATTCACCATTTTCCCAGCTTGATATCCTTCAAAAACTTCAGACTATAACCATCGTTCTGGTTGGCTCAGGGAGAAGGTGCCGGTGGCCGTTCTGCTGTTTGCTATTTACACCTCCTTGTTCCAACATGTTTCAAAAGGTTTATGCCAAGGGCTAGCTTTAGCTGGAATCTTTCATGTGCCCAGTGCCACATCTTAGCAGGAGCAGCAATGCCTTTTGTACCCTTACACAAAAGGGGTAAGGGAAGCTGTGGGGAAAACAACTCCATGATAGAGATAGTAACAACAGTAGGCCATTCAGTCCCTCAAACCTGCTCTGCCATTCAATAAGATCATGGCTGATCTGTGGCCTAACTCCACACATCTTCCTTGGGTCCAAATCCTTTGATACCCTTGCTTAATAAAAATGTGTCTCAGATTTAAATTTAGCAATTGTTTCAAAATGTCCGCTGCTTTTTGCATGTAGAAGTTCTTTCTAACATCTCCCCTGAATGGTCTGGCCCTCATTCTCAGACTATACCCCCTGGTTCTGGAATCTACAACCAGCGGAAACAGTTTATCTTAATCTTGTCATGTCTTTCCCCGTTAATATCCTGAAGACTTCAATGAGATCACCTTCTTAACCTTCTAAATTCTAGAGAATAAAGGCCTAACTTTTTCGATCTCTCCTCATAGCTTAACCCCTGAAAAACCAAGTATCCTTGTAAACCTGTTTTGGAATCCCACTGGGGTCCAAATACCCTTCGGAAGGTGTGGTGCCCAAATCTGCTCAGAGTGCTCCAACTGGGGTTGAATTTGGGTGGGCTAGGATAGAGAATCAGGGGCATCTCAAGCTGCCCTCCATCCAGCGCCTTTGGTCAGCTCACACAGACAAACCCCAGCAGTCCACAGTCAGGCAAGAAGTCGTTTCCTGTGTCAACATTAAATGCAACATGGATGGAGGGACTGCTGAGTGACGTGCAGAGCTCAATACTTAATATTCTAGCATCACTATTTACAGTTCAGTTCTACAAAATAGAGAGACTTGCATTTATATGGCGCCTTTTACAACCTCAAGCCATCCTAATGTGCTTCACAGCCAATGAACCACACAGTCTATGTTGCCACGGAGGAAACCCCAAGAGCCCAAATTGCACATTGCTGCTTTTTGGAGCTTGCTAAGTGATCACGACTAGTTAATGAGTCCATTTGAGGGATAGAAATCAATGAAGACACTATGGAAAACGACCCCTACTCTTTTCAAAATATTGCTGTGGGATCAGTGATGATATGATGGCATGAATGGACGACTCTGTGACAGTGATCAGCTTGCAATCAGAGCCTTAAATTGGTCAAGTCAACGTTGCTTTCAACAATCAAGGCATGTACATAGAAATCCAATGATGGCAATATCAGGTTAGCTGCGTGTAAAAAGCAGAAAAATGAAGCACAGGGAGGTTAGGGATTGGGGAGGGGGGGTGGGAGGGTGAGAGAGAGACACACACACAGACAGAGAAAGGAGAGAGAGAGAAAGAGAAAGAGAAAGAAAAAGAGAGAAAGAGAGAGAGAAAAAGAAAGAGAGAGACACACATACAGACAGACAGAGACAGATAGACAGATAGAGAGAGAGAGAGAGAGAGAGAGAGAGAGAGAGAGAGAGAGAGAGAGGTCATTGACCTTCATCAGACCCAATTAAGACTGACCTTTTCTCAGATACATTTACGCCGGGAACTAATTTGGATGGAAATAAATGTTCTGAAATTGTATCAAAGTGCGCTCCAGCAATCAGGGACAATTATTTTCCATTAATGACCAGCTCGGTGGCAGGTCAGACTGATGTGTTGTATCACTGATTAATACAGTTCACCACAAGATAGGCAGCAAGAGTGCAAATCTCCAACCGTAACTCCCTGCCCCAGATCACAATGTTTAAGCTCAGTGGCAGACTCTGTAACAGAAGCTGATTGGCTTAAAACCTTAGCTAAAACAAAAGGTTCATTTTCACAGAAAACCTCAGGTACACAAAGAATCCCTCCAAGGTTAGAATAATGTGATTTTTCAGACCAGACATCTTAAACTGGGACGAGTGGGGATATTTCCTTCCAAACCTTTTTATAATTTGTGTAATTAAAATAGTGCCAAATTGTGGCAACTTATACTACCTCACATTTTCATAAATACAGGTGACAATAAATTGCTTTTCTGTTGTAAACACTTTCAGACAGCTTCAAAACAGTCTGAAGGCTAGTTCAAAAAGAACCCACCAAGTTCCAGGATTTTACTTCAATTTCACTATAATAACTTCCTCCCTAAAACAAAACTTATCTGTTTTAGATTTTTGGATGACGAAGCACTCTATTTACCTTCACTCTCTGGCTATTTATTGTAGTTTGTATTTTGAAAACCTCTAAGTGAACAAAGACAGGAGCAGACACTGTTCAGTATTGATAGTTTGAGAAAACAGGCGATGTCTAGAGAGATGCAGTTATTAGCTCCATGTTGCAAATAACTGAGTCAATTTCCTGTGTTGTATCCATTAATCTAACACTTTTACATTGGATGGTGAAGAGATAACCTGGAAGGAGGTTGCTGATTTTGTGGTGTCACTTCAGATCTAAATCACATACTTTCACAAAGAAGGAAAGCAAAATGAATGAGTTTCCCAATTATTCTTGTTCCCTTCCCAAAGCCTGCCAACTCATTCTGAAATGCACTTTCACCCAGTCATTGTGTACAATTCCAAAACAACCAGCTGTTCAACAACAGAGGGCTTCACAACAGATTCACGTACAATCAGAATGCACTGATGCACAATTGAGCTGTCTGAAGTTCATTTTGTCTCCCGACTAATAGACTGGGAACCAGCATCCTGACTCAAACTTTACTCATAACTGCCTCAACCAAATTGCACACTATTTAAAAAAAGGTAGGAGACAGCAAAATTGTTTTAATCAATCTAGCAATTAGATTATCAGATCAAACCCCTAGCGATGTTTTAATACCTCTGCATTTTAAACAACAAAGCTACCATCAATGACTCTACTTAAACCAATGTAGTGAAGGTATCAACCCCACCATGTGCACAGGAACATAAACTCCTGTATCGTCAACGTGGGCACCTTAAATGAGCCATTATAACATGTCAACTTCTGTTAGCTTAGTAACAGTCGTTCATCCCTTCAGTCAATCTACTACTTGACTTAAACATGGATGACCAGTCCCCTACATTGTTAGGATGTAGTGGGTCTGTATCATAGGCAGGTAAATGAAATCAAAGAAAAATCTCTCAAAACCAATCTTTAAAACTTCAAATGAAACTTGGACTGAAGAAATTCCAGGTTTTCACTTAGGGGGAATGTGCTAATTCTTCCCTTCCCTTTGTAGGGCTTGGCTGTTATTTTAAGATTATACCTTCCTAGTTTTGGAGAACCCCACCAGAGGGACCACCTACCCTACAGAATCCTTTTAGAGTTGATGACAAAATTTCCAAAGCTCAAGGGAACACAAGCCAAGGTTAAGGATGAGGTGAAGTGGATCAGTTGAGAGTAGGTCTGTGTGACAACAGGGCAGCGCACTGACCCAGTGGTTAGCACCACTGCCTCACAGCACCAGGGGCAAGGGTTTGATTCCAGCCTCAGGCAACCGTCTGTGTGGAGTTTGCACATTCTCCCCACTTCTGCATGGGTTTCCTCCCATATCCAAAGATATGTAGGTGGATTAGCCATGGGATATGCAGGGTTACAGGGATGGGGGAGATCTGGATGGGATGCTGTTGAGAGGATCAGTGTGGACTCGATGGGCTGAATGGCCTGCTTCCACACCGTAAGGATTCGGCAGGGCCAGTTGGGACACAGTCTGTATCCTTTTGCTGATTGTACGTCGAAGCAGTCTGCCCTTGTACTTTAATGCCAAATTCCGTGCATCATTTTAATGAATAGATTTCCTCAACCAAAATAAACCAAGTGGAATACTCCAGGTGAGGATGTGAGCGAGACTCTGTACAACCAAAGCAAAGTTCCCCTCCTGTTTTATTCCAGTGGTCATTGAGATAAAGGCCAATATTTCCTGCAGCCTCTTTGGTCAAGATTTCATACCCGTGCTCCATTTTTACAGCAGGTTGGGTCCATGGTCACCCACAACCTTTTCATTCCTCTACAGCTCTTCGTCTCTCACCAATTAAAAAACAAACTGGCCTCTCTCATGCAGTTGGAGTCATACCTGAGAAATAGGAAGATGGTCGTGGTTGTTGGAGGTCAGTCATCTCAGCTCCAGGACATCTCTGCAGGAGTTCCTCAGGGTAGTGTCTTCGGCCCAACCAGCTTCAGCTGCTTCATCAATGACTTTCCCTCCATCATAGGGTCAGAAGTGGGGATGTTTGCCGATGATTGCACAATGTTCAGTACCATTCGCAACTCCTCAGACACTGAAGCAGTCAGTGTTCAAATGCAACAAGATCTGGACAATATCCAGGCTTGGGCTGACAAGTGGCAAGTGACATTCATGCCACACAAATGCCAGGCTATGGCCATCTAACCACTGCCCCTTGACATTCAATGGTGTTACCAAAACTGAATCCCCCCACTATTAATGTCCTGGGGGTTACCATTGACCAGAAACTCAACTGGACTCACCACATGAACACAGTTGCTACAAGAGCTGCTCAGAAGGTAGGAATACTGTGGTGAGTAACTCCCCTCCTGACTCCCCAAAGCCTGTTCATCGTCTACAAGGCACAAGTCAGGAGTGTGATGGAATACTCCCCACTTGACTGGAGAGTGCAGCTCCAACAACACTCAAGAAGCTGGACACCATCCAGGACAAAGCAGCCCACTTGATTGGCACTACATTCACAAGCATCCACTCCCTCCACCACCGACGCTCAGTAGCAGCAGTGTGTACTATCTACAAGATCCCCCGCAGAAATTCACCAAAGATCCTCAGACAGCACCTTCCCAACCTACAACCACTTCCATCCAGAAGGACAAGGGCAGCAGGTACATGGGAAGACCACCCCCTGCAAGTTCCCCTCCAAGCCACTCACTATCCTGACTTGGAAACATATTGCCGTTCCTTCACTGTCGCTGGGTCAAAATTCTGGAATTCCTTCCGTAGGGGCACAGTGGCTCAACCCACAGAAGGTGGAATGCAGCAGTTCAAGCAGCTCACCCCACCTTCTCAAGGGCAACCCTTTTGGGGCAATAAATACTGGCCCAGCTAGTGGTGCCTACATCCCACCAATGAGTCTAAAAATAAAAGTTCAAAGTAGGTGGCTTGGTCCAGCTACGGATGCCTCCCTTCCACAAAAATACACATCTCTATTCTTTCAGGGGATGCAGCATCACTGGCAAAGCCAGCAGTTGTTACCCATCCCTAACTGCCCTTCAGCTTAGCAGCTTGCTAGGCCATAATCGCAGGGTAGTTGAGAATCAACCACATTGTTGTGGGTCTGGAGTCACACGTTGGCCAGACCAGGTAAGGATGGCTGATTCTGTAGCAGTAAATCAGACAGAAATATACCATTATTACAACAAAGCATTGTAAAGGCCTTCCTTTTCAATTGGTCTAATGGGGTCGGTTGGCTGGTTTGTGATACAGAGTGATGCCAACAGCATAGGTTCGATTCCTGCACTGGCTGAGGTTACTATGAAGGACGTTCCTAGAGAGATATGGGCCAAATGGTGGCAGATGAGACTAGATCCGTTTAGGATATCTGGTCAGCATAGACGAGTTGGACCAAAGGGTCTGTTTCCATGCTGTACATTTCTATGACTCACCCTTTGCCTGAGACGTGGTGACCTTCAGGTTAAACCACCACCAAGTCATCTCCCTGTCAAGACAGGGCAGCCCAAAGGGCAGGTAGACCTATCTTCTAGACTATGGCAACTTATCTTTGATAACAGAGTCTGTAATTCGGAATTGACTGTAAAAAGTGTCCAGTCCAGGTTCACAGTCTGCCCACAGCACAGGGCATTTGTTTAACTGGTGCCTGTCTTTTAGGCCATTTCAACTTACCATTGTATTTTTAATGAGGCTGGTACGGTCCTTAGTGCGCATTACTGGCTTTGATGGAAGAGAGGGTAATGTCCTAGATAGAGTCAGAGAGATATACAGCATGGAAACAGACCCTTCAGTCCAACTCGTCCATGCTGACCAGATATCCTAAATTAATCTGGTCCCATTTGTCAGCATTTGGTCCCCATCACTCTAAACCCTACCTATTCATACACACATGAAGAGGCACTTTGAACTGAGCCAGTTTTATTCTGTAGATCCATGCACCAGTTTTGTACACAGTAAGATGCCAAAACAGCCATCAGCTGTGGCTCCAGGGGTTATCACTCTCCCCTTAGAACCAGAAGGTCATTGGTTTGGGATCCTCTGCAGTGACTTGAGCATGTGGGTAAGTGTTATCAAACAGAGAGAACTGGGTTCAGGTGCATAATTCTTTGAAGTTTGCATCACATGTAGACAAGAGTGGTTAAGAAGGTGTTTAGCATGCTTGCCTTCATTGCTCAGACCTTCAAGTATAGGAGTTAGAATGTCATGTTGAGGTTGCACAGGACATTGGTGAGGCCTCTTCTGGAGTATTGTGTCCAGTTCTGGTCATCCTGCTATTGTAAGGATATTATTAAATTGGAGACGGGCCCAGAAATGATTTACCAGGACGTTGCCAGGAATGGAGGGTTTGAGTTATGGGGAGAGGCTGGGACATTTTTCACTGGAGCATAGGAGGTTGAAGGAGGTTTATAAAATCATGAGCGGCATAGCTAAGGTAAATGGCAAGTGTTTTTTCACTAGCGTGGGGCACATCAAGACTAGGGGGCAGAGTTTTAAGGTGAGAGGAGAACGATTTAAAAAAGACAAGGGACAACATTTTCTTTTAAAAGAAGAGTGGTGTGTGTGAGAAATGAACTGCCAGAGGAAGTGGTTGATACAAGTACAGTTACAACATTTAAAAGGCATTTGGATTAGTACATGAATAGGTAAAGTTGAGGGATATGGGCCAAGCACAGGCAGGTGGGACTAGTTTAGTTTGGGAACACGGTTGGCACAGACTGGTTGAGCCGAAGCACCTGTTTCTATGCTGTATGACTCTATGTGGGCCAGGCTGATGCTGCAGCGTGGCATCAAGGGACTGCTGCACTGTCCACGGTGCCACCCTTAACACAGAGATCACAGTGAGACTGAACACCCCTCACCCCACCCACCTCAAAGTGGGGGTGTTGGGATGGGATGCGGGGGTTACCTCAGTCCCACTCCTGCTTTTACTTACTTCAAAGCGTTCGTTTTTGTTTCTTAAAAAAAAAGCTTAAATTTATTTGCCCTTTCCGCCTTTGACGAAAAGAAAAAGCACACAGAAAATGTGATACATCCCAGGTTGAGGCAAGGTGATAGTGTGGTACAGCTTCAAGGTGGTTTCTGGAATATTGCAGGTTATTATTAGAAATAATTACGTTGCAATGTGTAAATGAAGATACTTCATGAAGTACAAAGCAGGACTCATGTTCAAAGGGCTCAGCACATCCTACGACAGCCAAAAGAAAAACACATTGAATCCCACATCAAAAGTGTCAAACTGAAAGGTAACAGTTGCATATTCATTAGAGGCTGGCATCACCTGGGGACTTCAATGGTGAATCTCCGGGGCACCGGGCATTAGCAATTCTCAACGTTACACAGAGATGACAAGTAAAGCAAGGCCCAGCTCAGCAATCTATTCACAAGCTCGATGGTGGGGCTGGGGTGAGGGGGGAGGGGGATGCTGGTGGGATGGGTCCTGTTTATTCTCTCAGTGAACAATGACAGCCTCTCTCCACCAGCACACAGTCTGGTCTGCCTGCTAGAGCTGGGTACATATAAACCAAATAAAAAGAGCACCTGTCCCACCCCTCAGCTCCAGAAGGAAGAAACAAATATCCTTCACATCTCCCCCCCCCACACCAAACAACATGCATTTCTGCAGCACCTTTAATGTAGGAAGGTGTACCAAGGTGCCTCACAAAAGTAAACCAAACCAAAACTTGGCACAGACTTACAGCAGGTGGTACTAGGACCAAAAAATAAACAGAGGTAGGTTTTTAGGAGGATCTGAAAGGAGGAGGGAGAGACAGCAACAGCGAGAGACAGAGAGAGATTCAGAAAGAGACAGAAACACACACACACAAGAGCAAGAGAGATAAAAGACAGGGATAGAGAGATAAAGACAGACAGACAGACAGACAGACAGAGACACACACACTGGAGGGGGAGGAGTGGTGGTGAGAGAGAAAGACCAGAGAAAACACAAATAAAGAGATAGAGACAGTGAGACAGTTTACAGACAGTTAAGGACACAGCCACCAACGATGGATCAATTAAAAAAAAGTATCCAAAGTCAAGTGAGCATTCTCCCAATACTATCTCCCCAATCCCCCGCACCTAACCTCCCCCCCTCTCACCCACCCCATTGTCCAGGTACAACATTTGAATGCAGCAGGCTTCAGTTATTGGGGATAGAAATGATACAGCTTCAAAAAGGATGCCGTGCAGTCCATCAAGGCCTGTGTGGCCCCTTTAAAAGGGTTATACAACATCTATTCACACACAGAGACCCAGTACCCCACCTCCTCTCTGTTCTACAGGCACACCCCTGCATACTTGATCTGTTTCAAGTACTCATTCACGTTCCTTTTCAAATCAGACAACGCACTCCCAAACACATCGACTCACTGCTTAAAAAAAAAACTAGAAATCTCCTTTCTCATTCCTCTGTCACTGACCTGATTACAGACTGCCCTGTGGATATTGCTGTAAAGCCAGACTCAGATTGCTCAATGGGTATCAACGTGTGAGCTATTTGCTGGTGGTAAACAGAGAGAGGGGAAGCTTACCGGATTACCAAGTTATTGATCTTGAACTGAGTTTCAATGACACCTGTCGTCCGTAGCCGAACCCTCAGTAAATCCGTTTGTGTTGGCTTGTATTCTGGTGAAGTGATTCGATTAATGTTCATAAAAAAGCTGCAGAGAACAAAGACAAATTGCATTTTGTTCGATTGAGGATTAAAAACAATGGAACTTCCAGAGATAGAGGAATTTATCACAAACGTGCTTCACAACTAATGTATGAATGGTAAAGGGCACTCACTGTTTGTGTTGCTTTTTCAATTCATTCACGGGATGAGGGCGTCGCTGGCCAGGCAGCATTTAATGCCCATCCCTGCCCAGAGGGCAGTTCAGAGCCAACCACATTGCTGTGGGTCTGGAGTCACATGTATACCAGACCAGGTAAGGATGGCAGCTTCCTTCCCTAAAGCCAATGAGTGAACCAGATGGGTTTCTCCCGACAATCGATAATGGATTCGTGGTCATCATTAGATTCTTAATCCCAAATATTTATAGAATTCAAACTCCACCATCTGCTGTGGCGGGGTTCGAACCCTGGTCCCCAGGGTTATATTATCTGAGTCTCTGGATTAACAGTCCAGTGATAATACCACTAGGCCATCGCCTCCCGCACACAGCAATGAGGCTAGATAACATTTTGGCCCTACCAGGTGAGGGATAAACTTGGGACCAGAACAGAAAAACTTGCCTGTCTTTTTTTGTGTACTTACTTTGACAGCACCTTCCAAATCCATGACCTCCACCACCTAGAAAGACAAAGGCAGTAGATACATGGGAACACCAGCAAGTTCCCCTCCAAGTCACACATCATCCCAACTGGAAAGGTATTGCTGTTCCGTGTCTGTCAGTGGGCGAGCATTGTGGTACTAACAGTGCGCTAGGCGTTAGGGACTAGGGCAATAGGGCAGCCTGGTGGCTCAGTGGTTAGCACTGCTGCCTCATAGCACCAGGAATCCAGGTTCGATTCCACCCTCAGGCAGCTGTCTGTGTGGAGCCTGCATATTCTCCCTGATTCTGTGTGGGTTTCCTCCAGGTGCTCCGGTTTCCTCCCACAGTCCAAAGATGTGCAGGCTAGGTGGATTGGCCATGGGAAATGCAAGGTTACAGGGTCTGGGTCGGACACCCTTCAGGGGTCAGCATGGACTCGATGGGCCAAAAAGCCTGCTTCTACACTGGAGGGATGCTACAAAATGCTGGGCAGCCTACACTGACATCTTGTGAAGGAATAAAACAAAATACCATGGACACATCCACAATTAAAGTGAAAACAGGGCCACATTTCAGAAGGCATCCAGTACCCAAGGCATTGCAGCACCCCCTCAGTACTGTGTGGAAGTGGTTACTGATACAATATGCTCCAGAACCCAAAGGCTCAACTTGAAGCCACAACCTTCTATGATAACTCTGAGCACTGCCATTGTATTTAGCTGCCCAGATCAGTTCAATGTGCAATATTTTGATTTTGTAAGTAGGTTGCCATGCAAACCCCTTGACACATGGACTCATCCAGGACACTGCATTCCCCTATTATTAGCTGGGGCTAGCTGCATCACCAAAAAGACCTGATATGGAGGTGCTGGTGTTGGTCTGTGGTGGAGTAGGTCAAAAATCACACGACACCAGGTTATAGTCCAACAGGTTTATTTGAAGACACAAGCTTTCAGAGATGCTCACTAACACCTGAAGAAGGAACATGACTCCAAAATCTTGTGTTTTCAAATAAATCTGTTGGACTATAACCTGGTGTTGCGTCATTTCTGACCTTGACCAAAAAGACCAACAGGAATACCGGAGATTCCCAAACCCACATTTAAGGTGGTCGAGGCTTCAGAAGGAGCAGACTGAGAGATAGTAGGAACTGCCGATGCATTTCTCAAGAAGGGTCCAGACCCGAAACGTCAGCTTTCCTGCTCCTCTGATGCTGCCTGGCCCGCTGTGTTCATCCAGCTCCACACCTTGTTATCTCAGACTGAGAGATGTCGTGTAAGATGTACAAAATGGCATAAAGGCATGGAAGATGAAAAATCAAAAAGATTACTTTAAAATCAAACTGCTCATTTCTGTGGGAATGTTGGAAACTCTAGAATATAAACTCCTGGTTTATAAGTAGAATGAGGTGTTGGAGGGTCACACGGTGAAAAAGACCGACCAGGAAACACTAGGGCACCTGTCGAGTGCCTCTTAACATAAAATTGGGAAATACGGGGAACGGAGTCTCAGATACTAGACAGAATTACAGTACAGAACCAAGCCATTCAGCCCACATTGTCCATGCCAGTATTTAATGTTTTCTTCTTAGTTCACCAAATCCAATCAGTTTATTGATCTACTCTTTTAGACTGTGTCATGAAGCCTGTTATTGGCTCGGTTACATCACACAACTTACATCCATGGCTTTAAAAAGTCTCAAATGGTGAAACTAGACCTCCAACTTTGGAATTCCTTCCCTAAAATCTCTGCTTTTGAGGTGCAATTAAAAAAAAAATCCTGTTTCCTTTTATCAAGAGTTAAATTTTGCCTGGCTACATTCCAGGCATTCTTCAGAACAATGTTAAAGGTGTCCTGTAAACATACAGTGTTGCAGGAAGATGGTGTAATTGAAGTGTGAAGTCACACCCAACCAGACACACAACAACAAAAACAGAAGTTGCTGGAAAAGCTCAGCAGGGTCTGGCAGCATCTGTGAAGAAAAAAATCAGAGTTAACGTTTCGGGTCTAGTGACCCTTCCTCAGACCCTTCCTCTGAGGAAGGGTCACCAGACCCGAAATGTTAGCTCTGATTTTTTCCTTCCCAGATGCTTCCAGAACTGCTGAGCTTATCCAGCAACTTCTGTTTTTGTTCCTGATTTACAGCATCTGCAGTTCTTTCAGTTTTTATTTAGACACACAAGACAACTTGATGAACAATTGCTCTTACTCCTACTCCTGCAGCGTAAAACAATTAAGCCCAAAGGTCCAAGTGCTCTCAATGGTCTGGATCTCTTTCGAGAGAGAAAGAAAGACATGCATTCATATAGCACCTTACATGGCCTCAAAGTCCCAAGAAGTGTTTTACAACAAACTTTTAACAGGAATAGTCACTGTGGTAATGGCGGGAAACACAGCTGACAATTTGTGCAGAGATCCCACAAGAAACAAAATGAAAAGGACTATGTTTTACAGATAATCGGTTGAAGGCTAAATACCAAACAACTTCTGTTCTTCTACAGCATCATGGGTCAATCTCCCATTTGCAAGATGGCACCTCTGTCAGTGCAGCACCCCCTAGAGCGTCAACCTGGGGTCACTGCTTGGGTTTTGGAGTTAGACCCGAGTTTTAGAGTTAGACTCAAACCCATGGCTTTCTAACTCAAAAGGAGGGATAAGAATGTTATCCAGAGAGGGTAAACTGTGGAGGGAGGGATTGTTTGTTTCAAGGAGTTAAGAGAAGAAATGGGAATTTCAAGAGCGAAAACAAGCCGACAAAGTGAAAATCTGGAACTCCTTCAGTCCAAATTTCAATTGATAATTTGGAAGAGTGATTTTGAGAGATTTTTCTTCATTACGCTGTCGGGAGCTGCATAAAAGACAGGTAAATGGAGTCGAGGAAGGTACAGATCATCCATGGTTAAATATGGAATCATGGGATGGGATGGAGGGGCTGAATAGCCTATTTCTGTTCCCCAGCTGAACTAAGGAAGCCGTCACGTATAGTGAGTAATTTAGATGCACATGGGGACAGCACAGGAGGTGATGATTCAATACAGATTGTAAGTGACAGCTTCACCAGCAGACTGGTTTGAGTGAAGTCTCTGCTGTTTGAGATCAGCAAATGTTGGCTCCATTATCCAGTCTGCAGCAACAACAGCAACAAAATCCCCACCTCTGTGCTACAGAATCGGCAGCTTAACTTCATCCTGCTGCTCCAGGTCAAACCACAGGCCGTCGTATTTTTATCATCTTAAACACAGGAGAAGTGAACGCTATTTTAAGCCATGACGTTACTTCATTTCAAGCAACAAATAACTAGTTAGGTGTGGACCAAAGTGAAATTTCTCAATTGTCTCATTAAAAACCCATCCTCCGAGGCCCAAGCGTCCTTCCACTTGTCACCCCGAATTGGCCATCAAACTCTCTCCAAATTGACTTGGACGAGGACACACCAGTTAGCCCCTTGGTGATTGTAACGTCTGTCTGTGCAGCTTGGGAGGTGGTGAGCAGGTCCCCAAGCTGCCCTCCTGGGAGCCAGCCGCCATGCGAATTCGAGTTCCTGGCTTCAAATCAGGCCAAACGTCAGATTCCGAATGTTTAAGTCCTGAATGACTGTGAAAGATGCTCTCAGGCCACTGGACGGTTCAGGTACACTGTCTCCGTTGTCAACGCCTTCAGTCCCCCAGCAGTGACACATGTCATTTTAAGACCATTCTGATGGTCAGACACAAGGCAGGAAGATACAGTGATGTTTCAAGCCAGCCCATCTACCCATTTACCAGCTCATAACGCCGTTGCTCCTATGTCCTGTTGGGAGAGATCAGGAGAAAAAAGGTAGCAACGTGACCTTAAAATTAAAACTCAGCCACTCATGGGTGTTGTCAGGAAGCAATGAGAAAACTGTAATTCTCTCTTCTCCTGGAGAAAGTGATGGAGGCAGAGAGTGGGGAGCGTTACAATTTACAATTTCAAGAGCGAGACTGTTCAATTCCTGTGAGGTGAAGGCAGTAAGGATTAGAAAACCCAGATGGGTACATGAGACTGAAGAACAGATCGAGCCAGGACCTCCTCCTAATGGAGGATTTTAGCTGTACAAATGGAGATGGAGGGAGACTGAAAACTGCCAAGTGAAACCTTACTGGAAACTCACAAGGAGCACTCTCAGCATGGGTTTACCTCTCCGTCAAAACTTCATCACCCCTGGTCCTTTCCATAAAGCTGATTGGCACTCTAAGGTGAGGTTGTGCTCAAAGTGGGGAACATATTCATCAGATCCTCCCTGTTGTTAACTTTAAAATCGAATAAATAGTGTCTTCACCTTGAAAAGGAGGTGAATCTCAACTCTCCTCATGATACAAGCCCGTTCCTTGCTTCACAAGGACACAGACAGCAGGGTCACCAATACTGACATGGACATTTATTTT